TCTGTATATGTGTGTGTGTGTGTGTGTGTGTGTGTGTCGCCATATTGCACTCGCCTAATGGATGCCTTGGAGGCCGCTTAGTTGCCTAGGCAACTGCAAGGTGCTCTTGCGCTCAGTCTCGCCTAGTTGCCATAGCAACTATGCTTTTGTCCCAATGTTTTTGTGTTTTTTTCCTTCTCTTCCCGAAGTATTTGTTCCATACCATATTTTGTATGACCTATGTGACTTAAATTAATTCATGCTTCGCAGATTTTGTAATGGCCTGCTTGGAAAATTTAAATTTGGATTTCAAATTCAGATTTGACCCAAATTACATGTTTGGAAATTCAAAAATTGGATTTGGGCCAAATTCATCTAATTCCCAACGAGCTGATTTACAAATCCATACGCTCTCCCTTGTGATTTAAAATCCAAGAATTCAAATGAACTCCTAGTTTCCAAACACTGCCTGACGAAATTCCGCTTTTCCATAAGTTGTGCCTCCCATGTTCCAAAAACAATGGGACAAAGGAAGTCTATATCAAGAATAGCATAAATTCAAATTAATACTCTGCATTAGAAAAGGAGAGATCAAGTTACTTTTAGTCCGCGAGATTTCCATTGCTCGGGGGTGCTTGCCAAGCGCATAGCTTGTGCAAGAGATTCATCAACATCCCTTACTTCCACAAGCCCCAATTTCATCCAGTAATCAAACATGGGTTTTGAAAGCTCCTCAACACGTTCGCAGATCCATAGTCGCTGCCTTGTCCGAGTTACAGCGACATATAGCTGCTTCAGTTCAGAACACATGATTGCGTGCCTCGCTTCAGTAAAACATGGGAAGCTCTGTGAAAATCTTGTGTCGAGCAAATCATGGTCTTTCATAAATTCATACACTACTCTCCACTGACTTCTCAGCGGTGAAGTACCAAAAAAGTTGTAAAGCAGCACGTCCTGCAAAAACAGAGCAGTGGTCAGTTTTGCTTTTTCAAAATGACCGAAAGAAAGACATCAAGAGATGTTTGATGTTCCATTCTGATTTGGTTCATTATGTGCCCGAAAATAATACACTGTCAATAATGACTCTGACCAATAGTCCAATGCATCGATCTTTGTTTTAAATACCACAAAAATGTATAGTTACAGAAGCTAATGATTCGAGAGATGAATAAAACATTCCAATGAAAGTGAAACTCTTTTCTCAGAACGAAGGTATAAAGACTGGTGACAGATCTGGAAGAGAATTCGAAAGATTAAGAGAAAAAAATATGAAGCACGCGTCTTAGTTTGGCTCACTTACTTGAAACTCCAATCCTTTGCACTCAACTATAGTTAGAATAAGTGCTTGTTTTCCAACAAGATGAGATACTTCCTGCTTGGCAGACTCATCGCGCACTAATATCACTTGTTCGGCGCCAAAGCCCACCATCTTCCCACTAAGGACACTCCCACTGTTCCCAAAGATAGTTACAATGGCATTTTCATGGCTTCCTTGTCTGAGAAGCACTGGGGCCTCACCATATATAAGACTACTCTCGGGTTTCAAAGCATCAATGGAGAGAGGGAAATAGTGAGAAAGTATATCGATCACACTCTGTGCAAGCTTAAGAACGCCAGCATGCGTGCGGAAGTTCTGAAGTAGACATGAAACTGCAGCAAGATGGCCTTTATCTCTGCGTGTGGCATGTCGGCCACCTTTCATGACAAACTCTTCATAGAATAAAGTCCGCACATCTTCAAACCTAAACTCTATCCCCCTAGCAATGGTCTGGGCTGTGTCCCCAGAAAATACAAAGCCTTCATCAACATTATGGCAGATATGTTTGAACAGTGAGATCTGTCTCATGGTAAGATCTTGAACTTCGTCAATGTATACGAAATCCATTTTGTCGCCCTCCAGAATTTCCTCAGCCAACCGAAGATGGAGGTCATTCACTAAATCAGCCAAGTCAAATTCGCACCGCTCCATCTTCATTTTTTCGTAATCAAGAAAGATATCATAAATTTCTTGTCTCTTCTTCTCATTCAGAGTCGATGCCCTATTCTCAGACATTGAGACGTACTTCTCGCGGATGAGTTTCGCATTGTGGGGCCCACACACTCGTAGTCCTCCTTTTATATGTGAAATGATTTCGGTGAACACCCTTGCAGCATCGTGATTGTTTCTCAACTGGGAGTTGAAATGAGGCCAATATAAGCAACAAAAGCGGTCAAAGTTGACCTCCTTTGTTCTTATGAAAGTCTCCACGGTGGTTACCCTCGTGTCATGGAAACGGTCAAAATATGGTGTCTGCAGTGTTCCATCAAGCATCATCAAGAACTTACGGAATGTAACAACCAGGGGATATTTGCTTTCTGGAATGCCGACAAAAGAATCTGGAATGTCTTTGAAATGAGACAATCCATCCAAATCATCCATCATATCAATCAGACTGCTCTCATCAGAGAATGTCTTCCCTTGAGCAAAGCTGCAGGCGCATTAAAGGTTCAATGTTGTTAGTTACAAGGATCACTTCTTCAACTATCTAAACCGGTTATAAAATATTTCTCCAATTACAAAATTTGTTTGGATAGAGACAAGCAAAACTATAATCACAATACAGCAAAACTTATGAGGGTGTCTAGAGGATAAATACCCGTAGTTTCTTGATCAAGCAGCAAAAAAACTAAACGAACAAGCAAATCCCAGTAAATAAATACCCGTAGTTTCATTTTACTCTGAATTTAACTTTTGGATATAGATCTTAGATTTGAGAGTAAGTTAATAATGAATGTTCAAGCTCACCATTTCAAATGAGAAACTTGTTGTTTGACAGCATAGCATAGCTTTGGACTAACAGTAACAAAAAGCTGCCTTAAGGTGCTCCTCTTGGCCGCAATCTCAGATTGACAAGCCGTTGCAATCTCAGCACTTACAAAGTCATTTGTCCCCACTTCCGTGACGCCTCCCATGGCCGCCAGGTGGTGTTGTTGCTCCTTTTGAAACAACTTCATGGTCAAAACTGTAGTTTTACCCGTGCCGGATCTGCCCAGTATGAAACTACTCCTAGCCGATCTGATAATCTCCTTTTCCTCATCTGTGACTTCGAAAGGGATGTCAACTTCTTCACCAAGATTGTCTGACAGCAAATGGTTGACAATGCCAGACGACAACGAGTAAAATTTCATCAAGAGTAAGCTCTCGCTCACTCTTGAATTTTCAATGTAGCTTCTGCCCTCCACCACACCATCATTTGAGTTATCAACCAATCTCTCGCTAAGACTCTTGAACCTTACCAGATCTTGAGAAGCTGGCCAAACTTTTGGAACTTCCAAGTCCCTAGGCAAAAAATAAAAAATAAAAAAAATAAAAAGCAATTTAGAAATTAGAAATGTTCTCACTAGTAATAGTGATATGCAGGAACCAACATACCCATCGAGAGACTTCTGCGTGCACAAATTGATAAAATCATCAGTATACATAGCGAATATGCTGTCAAGTCGTCTCAATAACTTTCCAACCTCATCAAGAGGCAATAAATCCCAGGCCCTCAAAACTTGAGTGTATTTGAACTCTTTCTGAATGTCAATTGTGCAGACTACAAAAAATCCTTCAACCTTAAACTGCTTCACAATCTGCGATGAGCTTTCACACACCGAGTCCACTCCCTTTCTCTTCGGCCTCCATCCCCCGGCCAGTTTAACTAAAAGATTAAGCACTGACTTTTTCAAATGGACTGACCCCAAGTTTCGATACGATCTTTTGAAGTTGTCACTCAATAGGACCTAACCACGATGGAAGGGGGAAACAATAACTTAGCTCAAAAACGGTATCCCTATTGCTAAAAATAACATCTGGCCACTAAGAAACATGAAAAAGACTAGGAGTATCAAACTTTTACGAGATGAAATCCGTGAAAGATGAGCAAAATTGTAAATTTTTAAGACAGAAATATTGATCAAAGATCATTTTAAGAACTTATTTCAAAAAGCATATATCTTGAGTTGAAAGCATTAAGAACGAGATACATATTATATATTAATTTCAACAACCAATGAATTAAACTTGTTAACTACCCTTTACCAAAATATAGATGTTAAACCCCCTTCACTTCCCACAAATTTATCCAAAAAAGGCATGTTTTCAACAACAATTGGAGAAAGCAAATAGGTTGTATGGAATGGCCAAAAACAAGCAAATTCATTCACAGATAGAATTGCAAAAACTATATCTAAATTCTAATCAAGTAATGATATAAAACTGATAAGAATGAATGAATGAATAAATGAGTTGCTCTTACATTCCATCTTTGATTTTTGAACAAGATGCTGTCTGCATTAAGGAGGTCATCAAATTGATCCAGTTCTTTCTTGACATCCAAAATAGTCCTCGAGAGATCACTATCATCTCCAGCAAAGAAGATGCATTTACGTTTCTTTGCATCTAGAACTAATGCTTTCCAAACAGAATCGCTGTCAACCAACGTCCTTTCATTTCCCAAGATCCATAAACAGTGCCTACAAGAAACGTAAGAAATGCTTAAATGGCTTAGGTAACATTACTTTCAAATTTGAAAAGGTAAGAAGAGTACACGTACTGGGCTCTGGTCAGGGCAACATTAGTTCTTTGCAAACTAGACATAAAACCAATAGTGCCAGCACGATTGGATCTCACGGTTGATAGCATTATGATGTCCTCTTCTCCACCTTGGAAACCATCAACAGACTTCACCTTAATTGCAAAGCCATTAAGGTTGTCGTACCTTCTGCCAATTTTGTCTCTTATGGCAATAACTTGAGCAGCATAGGGTGATATAACGCCAATGCTTAGTTTAGTTCCCGTGTTACGCCAAACTGGGTAAAGATTTTTGGAAAAAAAAATTATAGTTAGAACATTACACGATTACCACTAAACTGGGGAAATAACATTTTGAAAAAATAAAAATAGTTACAGTAGAACATTACACTATAAGTCAAAGAAATTGCAACATTACTACAAAGCAGTGAAATGAATAAAGGTATGTAACACTGGATTACTGGAACTGAAAGAAAAATATGTACTCAGGATCACTCTAAACCAAACTATCACTCTCCTATTTTCAGCATCAGTGAGTGTAAAAAGAGCTGATATAAAAGAACCAATGAACCATTACATGCTCGATGCCATTAAAGCCAAACTTTATTAGAGCATTGTTAAAGAGTATCCCACATTGGAAAAGTATGAGGAAAAATAATCGGTATATAAGCTCTTGAGTTGAACTAACTAATCGATTGGATTCAGTCTTTTAATGCGGTTCAACCCAAGTGTCTCATTACCCAATCCAATTTCCATACCCCATCTTAAATTCTATCATGGTATCGGAGCAAGTTTTGGCCCACCTCATTTGTCAAGGTGTCCGTCTAGACGTTCATTCATAGTGGCCCGTTAGTCTTTAGCCCAGTTGTCTGAATGGAGTATGTACCCAACAGCCTATGGCCCGTTTAACACGATTGCTCGTCTGGAAGTCCATGCTCAGCGGCTCGTGGTCCATTTGGTGTTGGCGCTCAAAAAAAAAATCAAGGGGATGGGAGCCAATTTGCAAGTGGTCAACCGGTTAGATTCAAATGGCCCGGTTGTCCACTTGAGGGGGAGTGTTAAAGAGTGTTCCACATTAGAAAAGTAGGAGGAAAAATAATCGGTATATAAGCTCTTGAGTTGAACTAACTAATCGATTGGATTCAATCTTTTAATGCAGTTCAACCCAAGTATCTCATTACCTAATCCAATTGTCCATACCCCATCTTAAATTCTATCAAGCACTAAACTATAATGATATCAACACTTTCTAGAAACAAGTGAGCAAAAATCAAGCTTTGGGCATTGATGAACCCCCAAAAAATGAAAACAAAAAGTAAACCAAAGGGTAGACTCACATTTGAACAAATTCTGCACAATCTTCATTACTAACGCGACCTCAACCATATTTCTTCTGCTATGCCCTATATCATCAGATTCTTCCCTTCCACTGGGGACATTTATAAAAGAATATGGACCAAACATTCTCCCCTGAAGATACTCCCTCTCATAGGTTTTACATTGCACATTTGGAGCATCTAGAAGTTGATTGTGATTGAAGCTCGAATTCGGGAAGCGGCTTATAGCAGGATGCATTCGGTACTGCACATTTAGCATAAGCTTTGGGTGACCTAAGGAACTTAGCCTTTCAAACAAGCTCCGTCCCAAACCTGCCTCCCTAGACACCTATAAACAAATGCCCATGTGTTTAGGTGTGAGAAGGTACACAGTGAGAAGATGAAAGACACGAGAACACTACTAAGATATAAAAGAGAATGGAATGCTCACTTTGCTATGAACAATTGCAGGTAATTGGCATTCGTCACCTACAAGAACTGCATGCTGCAAACCTGGAAGTTGAAGTGCTATAATTGATTCACATTCCCTCATCTGAGCAGCTTCATCAATCACCAATAAGCTGAACGGTTCCATCTCAACCGAGTGCATCCAAAAAGAACTTGAAGACGTGCAGAAAACCAAGGATGCTGACTGTAAACAAAATTTCTTAACTGATGCCTCATTTAAGGAACTGGGAAGAACAAGTTCTCCAAGCGAGCGTACAAGGAATTTAAGAATGGAGACACACTGCATTCTTAAGCAGGCCAACAATGGTGTATCTGCAATTGTCTCGCATGTGACTTCTGAGTTTACCGGCTGTGAAAAAATCTCCTTCAGCTCTTCTTCAGATCTCGTACGCTTCTGACATAAAGTTTCTTTCAAAGAATCCAGAAGGAGAATCAGGGAGATCATTTCTTGGAAATTACTTTCTTGAATCAAATGCCTTGGTATGTGAGTACACATTATTGACATGCATCTTCTGAGTGGTGAAACTACACCCTCAACCCGTGATTTTAAAAAATCAGCAAACGACATAGGTTCTGCGCTTTCCTCCAAAGTCTCACCCTTCTCAGTTAATGCTCTCATTTTTACTAATTCATTCTCCAAGAAGATTTCATGGTCAGAAACACAGTCTTCAAGAAAAGAAATTCCAGAATGAATGCAGTGTCTCCAGCCAGTCAGTGGGCCAAAACACTCAACAAGCCTTTTAACCCGATAATCTAGAAAGATATCCTCAATGTATTCGCCCAGCTTCAACCTGTCCTTGTTTCCATATAGGATAATGTCACCCAACGGATATAATATATTCTCCTTTGAAGATTCCTCTTTGTAAGAGTCCTGCAGCAGCCTTATCACCCTAGAGGCAACTTGTGTTATTGCCACGTTTGTTGGTGCACAAACAAGTGTTCTGCACTTTCTTTTAAAGAGCATGAACAGAAGTATGCTAATAGTACTTGTCTTCCCAGTACCGGGCGGGCCCCATATAAGATCAACGTGAGAGATTTGGTCACATTTCACCCTTTCAAGACATGTGAGTACGGCATTAGCTTGGGATTCATTCAGCATGGCCAGCAAGCCATCGTCGATCTTCTCAGTTGATGATCCTATTTCATCATGTGGAGAGCATACATTACATTTCTTCTCAACCTACAATGTGATAAAGAAATATCAATCAAAGTCATAAAAGGACTACAAACTAACCAAGAAGTATTGTTAAATTCGGATGATGGAACCCCCAAACGGAAGCTAACTATCACCGGGATGACATGGTTTAATGAAGAAGAGATACTTTGGTAAGAAGTGAGGTTAAATTCAAATTCAAATATTAGTAAACCGGCAATACCACCAACCTCGTCGCTTGTGTACAAAACACTCTCAATAATGTTCAAATTCTTAGTCATTCCCAAAGCACTCCAAATCCTTTTAGTTGTTGTGAAGTTTTCCAAGAAAACAATGTGGATCGTGGCATGGGCTCCAATCTCGGATCCAAAATCAGCGGGCATCTTCACTTTGAAACATGTGGACGAATTCCCGTCATCATCATCATCAGTAACATTAACAACCAAAGCAAATGACCAATTCCATCCCGCACGGTTCAAATCGGAAACCGCCTCAGGGTTGTTATCTGAGATCACCACCAAGTCTCCCGGCATTGTTTTGTATTGTTCCCCTTCAGCACTAACTCTTCTCTTCCAAAACTCAACCTTGACGTTGTAATGAAAACCGTTCCCGTGTCCTTTTGTCTCTTCAAATGAGATGGCTTCTGCAAATGGGGCCTTACCCATTGCATCCATAGAAGAAGCCAAAACCTCGCGAACTTCTTCGAGCAGAGGAAAGGTGTAACAACCTAGATAATGCTTCCACGAACTGAACGTATCCGGAATCTTCTCGACCTACAAGTGGAAGACAAACAAAAGCTCAATGGAGATGAAAATCATAAAGAGCAAATATAGGAGTAAAAGTATGGAAACAACAAATACAGATGAAAATAACAACAAAAACAACTACTGACTGCAGGGTGCATTTTGTTGGTTAGGAGTGAAGTGATACCTGGCATGTGTAGAGGGCATCATTGAAAATATCTTCAAGAGACCATGAGAAGACCATATCAATGACGTCATTGTTAGGCCAAACTCGCCTCTTCACAGAGGAAACCCCTCCCTCCATCTTGCCAAAAACTCTCAACAGATAGCAAACAACAAAAAAAAACCCCTGAATCTGAACAAGTTCTTGAACCCTAACTAAGCCTCTCGAGAAAGGACCACAGGTAGAAAAACCCAGAAAATCTGATCAAACAACAAGAGCAAGCGCATGAAGAAAGGTGGTATTTTGCATGTAAATGCACAGAGAAATCAAGGGTCTAAAAACTGGGCTTTCTTTGTAACGAACTAAAATGAGCCAAGATTGCATTTTTGGAAGCAAAAACGAATATGATCAAAACCCAAAAAGAATGCAATTCTACTAGAGGAAGAGAAAATATTGGGGAAAGGGATTCTTGAAGATGGAGTGGACGTTTAAAACGTATGGGGGCATGCACTACTATTTATTACTCCCTCTATTTCATAAAACTTTTCCTCTTTCATTTTTTTTTGTTTTTTCTTAAAATACTTCCCTTTTCTATTAAAAAACCAATTTTACTCCTACTTTTTCATACCCTACCTATCACATCATACTTTTTCACTAATAACTAAATAATCACATCTTACTTTTACCCATTACATCAGGGGCAAAATTGGAAAGTCAATTAAAATTACACTTTCCTTATTTTTTCCCAAAGTAAAAAGAGAAACGGTTCTGAGAAACGGAGGGAGTAGGTGGTATCATTAGTTTTAGAACTGCAACTGCAACCAGCCAGAGAGTGGAGACTCTCTAGAGTAAGAAATTGAGCGGGAATAGAGCTAAATGTATGCCAAAGGTTGAGTGGAAACTACCAAAGATTGTACTCCGCATCCCATGTTGTACACTTACTAGTAATTTGATACCGTCTATTGTTTTAATATATATTTGCTCTCCAATTTGATTACAAATTATGATTTATGAGAGAAATTTTTCACTCTTTGAAATCATTTTATTTACAAATTAGAATATCGATAAAAAATAAAAGGAAAAATTGATATAAATACTCCCAGAAATTTGAAATTTTACAATAATACTCCCAAATTTAATAAAAGACTCTGGTGCTCCCAATTAAACTATATAAGTTTACATTGTTACTCCCACTATTCCTAATCAGCTTTTCTTATGCTTACATGTAAGTAATTATGCCTAGTTGACATCTTAGTTGTTCTTTTTGTTTCAATAGGAGAAAAAAATTGTATAAATACTCTCTGAAATTCAAAATTTTACAATAATCTCTCAAAACCAAATAAAGATTCCAGTACTCTAAAAAATATCTTCCTTTTACGTGTTATAATGTTTAATAAATGTGGTGTGAAATCAAAAAATAAAATTATACGGAGTATATCTAAAAACTACATTATAAGATCTATAAAACTAGTAATGATATAATTATATTATTTTATCAAATATATAATTAAAATAGATAAGCAAAATAAACAAAATTTGATCTTATTAATACTCTTGATAGTGAATGAAAAGATAATTTTTGGACAGAGGGATATTTTTTATTAAAATATAAAAAACTACTTTAGATGCCAATTAAGCTCAATTAATTAATCTTTAGTATTACTAAAAAAATTATTTTTACATATTACTATATTAGTTTTTAATATGTAATTTTTATTTTTTAGTTTCACACCATTTTTCATATAAAATACTTTAAAAATAATTTCAGTCAAATATAGTAACGTGCAACGAGAATATACTTTTAGGAGAATTGGAGTCTTTATTTGATTTTGGGAGAATTATTGTAAAATTTTGAATTTCTATGAGTATTTATATAATTTTTTCCTCTTATTAAAACAAAAAACAACAACTAAGATGTCAACTAAGCATAATTACTTACATGTAAGCATAAGAAAAGCTTATTAGAGATAGTGGAGTAGTAATGTAAACTTATAGTTTAATTGGGAGCACCAGAGTCTTTTATTGAATTTGAGAGTATTATTGTGAAATTTCAAATTTTTGGGAGTACTTATATCAATTTTTCCAAAATAAAAATTACATATTAATAAACTACGCCAAAATTTTTACAAAATAAGAGGTGACAAAAATTCATCAAATACTTAATAAAATCGCGTAAACAAACAAAAGTTTTCGAGAGTAGAGAGAAAAAAATTGTAATCTAATTGGGATTGGAGAGAGTAAATTTTATTTTTTTATGTCAATTTGTAACTAAAATAATTTTAAAAACTACGAGATTTTACACGTTGTTCGAATAGAGAATATTATATTAAGACCACTGAACATTTTAAATTATTCATGCATATAATTTTGTTGTGCAGAATTCGAGAATAAGAGAAAATATAAACAAGAAAAACACGACAACAGATTTAACGTGGTTCACCAACGTTGTGTTGGCTAGTCCACGGGGAAGAGGGGGAGCAGTTTTATTTCTGGTTTGGAGAAGCAAGAACAGAGTACAACAACTAGGGTTTGTGATAGCACTCATATAAATAGTGCTTGGCGAAACCCTAACAGATTTAGGCCCAAAAAATACAGAATTAACAGATAATTAAACAAGCCCAAATGGAATGGGGTTCGGACATCTCAGAATTCGGATTTCTCGACTTCTCCGGAATTCGGATTTCTCAGAAGTTGGACTTCTCCGGATGTTGTAACGAGTCAGATTCAAGGCATTACAACAAATCTCCACCTTGACTTGAATTCTCCATACAGATCCTTCAGATTCAGACGCACTTTGATTGTGCCCAGCCTCCCCCTCTTCCTCAGAATTGCCCCGCAGGGCTACTAAAAACTTCTGATGTTAAGCAAGTCCAAACAGTGTTGAAACTTGCTTTGCGGAACCGGCTTTGTGAACATATCAGCAGGATTATCAGCAGTTCCTACTTCTTCACTTGGATTCTCCTCTCACTCCTTAAGAAATGATACCTCACGTCAATATGCTTGGTTCTCTCATGATGAACTTGATCCTTGGCTAAACAAATCGCACTCAAACTGTCACAATACACCGTAGCCTTATCATGATGCAGACCAAGATCACTAACCAGCCCTTTTAACCAAATTCCCTCATTCGCAGCTTCTGTCAAGGCCATGTACTCTGCTTCTGTAGTTGACAAAGTCACTGTAGATTGCAAAGTTGCCTTCCAACTTACAACAGAACCTCCAAGAGTAAACACATAGCCAGTCATCGATCTTCTCGTGTCAACATCTCCAGCATAATCAGAATCAGAATATCCTGTAACCAAACACTGAGTATCACCTCCATAAATGAGACCAACGTCAGATGTACCTCTAAGGTACCGGAAAATCCTCTTCACAGCCTGCCAGTGTTCTCTCCCTGGTTGTCCCATGAATCTGCTAACTACACTTACTGCATGAGCTAAGTCTGGCCTTGTACAGACCATAGCATACATCAAACTTCCTACGGCACTAGCATAAGGGACTCGTGACATATACTCCTTCTCTTCTTCTGACTGTGGAGCGAACATGGCAGTGAGATGGATATTGGCAGCACTGGGGGTGTCAATAGGCTTAGATGAAGACATGCCAAACTTCGTCAAAACCTTCTGAATGTAGCCTCTTTGTGACAAGAAAAGTTTCCTTTTCTCTCTGTCTCTAATGATCTCCATTCCTAAAATCTTCCGAGCGGCTCCCAAATCCTTCATCTCAAACTCAGCACTAAGTAAACCCTTCAGCTTCTGAACGTCATACTTCTGCTTTGCAGCTATCAACATGTCATCTACATAAAGCACCAGGTAGATAAATGAATCATCCTTGAGCCTATTGTAGTAGACACAACAATCATATGGGCTCCGAATGTAGCCCAACTTCACCATATAGCTGTCAAATCTTTTGTACCACTGCCTTGGGGACTGCTTAAGTCCGTATAAAGACTTCTTCAACTTGCAAACGTGACTTTCCTTCCCTGGAACTTGGAAACCATCCGGCTGAGTCATGTATATCTCTTCTTCTAACTCTCCATGTAGGAAAGCTGTCTTCACATCAAGTTGCTCGAGCTCCAGGTTCTGATGTGCAACTATTGCTAGTAACACGCGGATGGAAGTATGTCTAACCACATGTGAGAAAATCTCATTGCAGTCCACTCCCTCTCTTTGATTGAAGCCTCTCGCAACGACCCTGGCTTTATACTTGACCCCTTCTGCTGGTGATATTCCTTCCTTCCTTTTGAAAACCCATTTGCAAGTAATGATCTCTCTCCCTGGAGGCTGTATGACAAGATCCCATGTTTGATTCTTGTGCAAGGACTCCATCTCCTCTCCCATAGCAGTTAACCATTTTTCAGAATCAGAACTTAAAACAGCTTCTCTGTAGGTAGATGGTTCAGAAGTATCTACCTCTTCAGCAACCTGCAGTGCATAACCCACCATATCCTCAAAACCATACCTCATAGGTGGCCGAACTCCAACCCTTCTTGGTCGATCTTGAGCTATACTGCGATGGGTATCTGATGGCATAGATTCTGGGAA